ATCGTCGCCGAATTTGCGTTATCCCGTGGTCTTTGAAACAGATTGCAATTAACCTGGTGCAATTTTGCCCCACTACGGGATGTTGGTTGTTATTGGTGGCATAGATATTTGCCTGTGCCTCATAGTTTTTTTTGCATTTTTCGTCCTTCATTCATTCATTCTTGGGGGCACAAGCCGTGGTGGCACTTTCCTGTGCCTACCATCCGTTCCTATTCTTTTGGCCTCCTCCTCCGAGTGTCCAAGCCTGGGCACAGCCTATGCCCCATAACTCGTTGAGAAACTTGCTCATCTGCCTCAGCCATAATGCTCCCGGTCAGCCCAGGCCATCTCCATCGACCAGGATTCCGTGCAGACAGAATTTGGCTGGCAGGGTCATTCCCTGGGAAGTGAGCAGCATGCCCGTAGAACGCAGCTGGCAGTCACGAAACAAGCAGGTGACTCTACCCAATGATTCACCACATGGAGGTTGTCACAAAGGTGTTTAGTCTTTGCCCCAGCCCCTTAGTAAGTGTTCATGCCTCACAAGAATATAGTAAGGCTGAGAGCACAAGGGACTTGAAGACTAAGACCTTTACACCTCTACTCAGATATCATGAACGCCACACATCTTTTTTCAACGATCACATTTTGCGACCTCAGTCTCACAGCTTGCAGAGCTGCTGATTACGCTGCTGAGGTAGACAAACAAATCAGTGACATCCACGTTCCCACCGTTTGCCGAGACGGACCCGACAGATTTTTCCAAGCTGTCCCTGAATCTTGGTCTTAACCCACAACACACAGTCCAAGCAGTTCGGCCTCCACATTCGTCAAGCACTCCCACTAGAGAATCAACCAACTCGACCAACAATGCAGCATCATCTGCAAAGTCAAAATCAGTTACCTTGACACTTCCAAATAGGACAACCAGTGCTTTCCATCATACCTCTCATAATCCAGTCCATACAAGTGTTGAAAAGCATAGGAGCCAGTGTGCATCCCTGTCTGACTTCTGCCTCGACAGAAAAATAGACAGACACACCACCAGCACACTTAACAGCACTCTCAGTTCCAGAATACAGAGAGGAGATCAGGTCCACTAGAGGGTTCTCCATAGGGCCTCTCTACACACAGAGTTGAAGGCCTTGCCGAAATTAATATAGGTTACTAAGAACCCTCTATTGAATTCCCGCACCAGCTCAGACAGCCATATAGCGCCAAGATACGGTCAATGGTGGACTGCTTTGGAGTAAAGCCAGACTGCTCAGGGCGCTGATGGAGAAGCAGCTGTTGGCAGATATGGTTCAGAGTAATCCACACAAAGATCTTACTGGGTACCAACAGAACCCTCACTCCTCTGTAATTGCTACAGTCCTGGGCATCAACCTTTCCCTTCCAGATACGGACAATTAGTCTCGTTCTCCAGTTAGTTGGGATGACACCAGTGCTCAACACTGAGCACATCAGTCTGTGCAACCACAACAGGATAACCTCACCTCCAGCCCCGAGCATCCAGGACGGATCCCACACAACCCGGGGGTAGTCCCATCCCACAGTCGGCCCAATGCCTTCTGAGTTTCTTCTAAGGAAAGCAGAGAGAGGCCACCTCCAGAGCAGGAGAACCATCAACCCTGAGCTCACAGTTTGGAGGGTCGGTCTGGAATAGCTCCTGATAGAATTCGCCCCAGCGAGACCTAACTACAGACTCATCCATCAGCACCCGTCCATCAGCCGCCTTCACTTCAGGACAGTTTTGATTGTTTCAACCGATTACTTAGGTAGAAGCTTTCTGACACTCTCAAGACAGTGGATTTGAAGTATGACCGGAGCTGATCTGTGTTGCCAAACACACTCAGCACATCCAGCTCCCGACCAAGACCTGCCGCATACTCACCAGCCACGACAGGGTCCCTCAACTGGTGGACATCCAAACGTGGCACCAAAGTTGTTTTTCTAGGGACCCTGAAATGAAGCCTAAGAGCAGCAACAACAAGCCTATGATTGGTGCTGACTAACTGAGTGCTTCAGAACACTCGACAGCTCATGACCATTCTCCATCTCCTATCTACAAGAACACAGTCGATCTCCTTCCTTGTGACGCCATCATAGGAATACCATCACCAGTGTCTAAAGTTGGGTCTCTGAAACCAGAAACCTGCTATTCACAACCTCTGACTCCTTGCAAAGTCTAGAAGTTGGGAAGCACTTTCGTCCTGGGTTCCAGACTCATGGGGCCGACACATGCCTCATAACCATCCTTAATAGTACCAGTGGTAGCATTAACTGGCATCTCTCTCAGGGATGGCATCAACCACCGAATTAAGTTGGGCATAGAACGCTTTCTTCACTAAAATGTCACTACTCCCAGTTGTAGCAAACACAGCAGATAGTACACCAACAGTGTAGGTGATGCATAGCAGCATCATACGCTCGTTGACAGGTGTGACCTGCGATATCATTGGACTCAGTCTATCGGAGATAGCATAAGCAACACCCTCGGTGTGCCTACCAACAGTACGACCAGACTAGAAATAGGTGTAACCACCTACTCTGATCTCACCGTACCCGGTCTGCGCACCTTGGACAATGCTGCCATGCTTATACCGAGTCAACCAAGCTGCAATGACATCGCAGGCAAGTGAAAATCCTCTCGAAGTGATAGCACATTCCATACTCCAAGCCAGACATCCCATCTCAGATTCAGCCAAGGCCTTCAATCCCTCAATCTCATCTAGTTGGTCACCAGTTAAACTTAAAAATCGTATTCTTTGTTAGAGGTTCGCAATTCATTTCAAAGTCACAACACGGAGGACAAGACATGTTTTACCAGTGAACATGGCGTTTGCTTAGGTTTGTGTGTGTCGAACGATGATCACCCAACGACCGATGCTCACAACTTGAATCCCGCCAATAACAAATATTAACAATATTATGATTATAGAATTTTTCAGATATTTTCAATTTTTTCCAATATTCTTTCTAAATTCAAGCAATATATTTCCTAAAAATCAAATACTACCAATTTTATGTATTTCCGCATTGAACCTTCAGTCAATTCACGTTCCAGGGCCACTTTGTTTAGCGTATCTGTGCATTATCAGCCAATATACCCTTAATTGCATATGCAAATTTTGTGTTTGGACCAATCAAATCAATCAATAATTCATTATTTCTTCATTCATTCATGATTCCTTCATTTATTCATTCATTCACTACTTTTGCAGTCAGAATTAAAAACTATATCATCGTCACACAGCGTCGTGTTTCATATGATACTTATGTGACATATTTCAACACATGCTGTTAAAAGACTACGTATAAATACGATGCTTACTCCTAATACCTAGTCAACACATTTTGACATAAAAGTGAAAATCAATAATTCAATAATATTACATATAATTACATAATAAACTAATTTATCATGGCTATGAATTATATATTATTATCTATTATTAGTAGACTGAATTCATCCACTTTGTGTTATCACTGATTGGCTGCTTTCATGACTTCAGTACTTCGCAATGGGAACTGACATGCATCAACTGATTCGTACATATTCCCCATACACAATATATAATAGGTAAATGTTGTGATATTCATGTTAAATATCGTCATTTTAGACATGATTCACATATACGATACAAACTACTCCAACAAAACTCATCTCACCTTCCGTCTGCAAAATCCATCTGTTCCGTTACAGACATCGCAATTTTCATTGTAAATAATAACAAGAATCTGTGGACTTTCATTCGTGCCATCATTACTGACAGATATCAACGCACCTATCGGTTCCACTGGATCTGCATCACGTCGTCGTCTTCGAGAAAGTTGATCAACTGGACATTGGATTTCTTCATATGTCTTAAATACACTATCCTCCTTACTGGTTACGTCTTCAATTGTAAAACCCGTTTCCGATATCTTCAATAAGTTATAGAAAACGAGTAATTCATAAACTATTCTCATCCAAATTAAAACGAATAACAAAAAAGTAAACAAAAAGAAAAGTTAAATTAAACACATGGCTTGTCCGGAAAACAATATTTAAATATAACATACATCTATCATATATTCGATATTGTTAATTTAAATAAACCTTATGTATTTGTCAACATTTATGTTATACCTTAATACGTGTCACGTGACAGATCATTGCCTCCACGAATTTATCACCAAAAATCGAGACATGGGAACAACTTTCAAAACTTGTACTACAAAGGCCATTCTTATGTCCACGATAGACATCCGGGGCTTCACTGAGCGTAACTGAGCAGTCTGTCCCTCCATACCCATCATTGCATACACATACACCGTCTGTGCAGTCGCCTTTCCCGTTACAGTCGGCTGGGCACAGGGCTCCGATAATAGCCACAGGGGGCGCTATAACACCATTGTCATTTGCCAGCCAGTGTGTTGTATCTTTGCTCACGATTTCTTCACACTGGTCTCTAAATAGTGCACTTGAGGACTGCGCTGTGTTCAAGTCATCCAATACCTTCATAAATTGGAACTAGCATATATTAATGAGTTCTGGTAAATATGATACAAAAACAGCTATGATTATTATTATAGTAATCACGCAATACATATATATTAATAAATGCAATTATGGGTAATATTTTGATTTCAATTTACTCACCTGAATATCGAGAACACAGTTCTCAATAATTATTTCAGTCTCATTCTGGAATAAGACACCTTCACATGCCTTAGCCGTCGCTGACCCTAGCACTAAGTCGTTACAATATTCGATGGCAAACTGTTCCGTTATTCCAGAAGGTGTTGGCCATTCAGGTATCTACAGGTGAAATAATCTGTTCTTATAAGTCAAATACACATTCTACTGTCTATGTTAGAATCTTTCACTTATAATACGAAACAATATTTGTGTCACAAATGATTTCAAGTTCAAGATTGCGTCAAAGTACCGAAACCAACCTTTGGTTCGAAATCCTCATCATATGTGAACAATAAATCGTCGTCAATCTCTGTGTGACGTTTGCGTTTATTCGTGCCTTCGTTGTTACTGTCACTATGTAAATACTCATCTGTTATGTCACAGTATCTGGCATTACATGTGTTAGGTACAATATTAGGTTTACTGGGGCGTCCATTATCTTTACCATACTGACACTGAGCATCAACACTACCCCCTTCGGCATTACACGAGCAATACACCTGTGTTGAGTTCTTGCTTTCTGTTTCCGAGTCACAAATTTCACCATAGAATAGATTGTTTCCTCTTGGGGTTCTGTGGGATAAATACAAGACACTGTCTTTATAGTTGTGTGTTCTTGGAGTGTGCAGTACAGTGCAGTCTATTATAGGAAGGTTATGGAAAGGGAAGAAAAGTAAAGCGAGTCGAAGGAAAGGAAATAGAAGGGAAGTGAAGAGACACAGTGCATTGTATCACTGTATAATGTACTATCATTAATCAACATCAAGTGCACTTACCTCCATGTATCAGAAAACTCGTGTGCGTTTGATCTCGCGGGTAGATATTCTCTATTTGCTGAATTGAAAGGTCCTTTGAGAAAGTCATTGTCGTAATTTCCATCGTAGCTACCACATAGTCCACCATTGAGCCAACCATAGTCATCGGATGCAGGGGAAAGGCATATATTAATATAGTAGCCTCCACTAGCCTCGACAAATGCACCGTTTGGGAAATGTACCTGAGAGGAAAATGACTGAGTGTTATAAATCAGGCGTCTCCATCATCACGTAGCCATCGACTATGAAAACTCACAATTAGATAAGAAAAAAAATGTAAATAAAATCGAAAATCAAAATGAACCTTGATTATATTCATGCTTGTTCTCGTAACAACTATTGCAATCAAGCATTTGGTTTGTCCAATTATGGAAAAATAAACGTCACTGATAATGATATTACTTTGAATTGTCTGGGTTTGATCTATACAGAGTGCTCGTAAGTCGGAACTCACCAAAATGGGACAGCAAGAATTATACATTGTTGCCGGAAATATGGAACAGTTTAGTATGATTACTATTATTGTATCGCTTGATTATGCTACGGTGCACATTGTTATCACATTATATCGCCATACATGCGAACGTGAGAGGCAACATCACATGTACCTTTGTTGACCAATCACAGTGATATATACTCTTATCAAACCTTCTTGATCAAGTTTCCCTCTAAGTTAAAAATCCCCGTAATGTATTTCAGTCTTCTAGGTTTGTTCACATGTGTTTGAATAAACTCGCTCCAGTTAGTTTGCTCTACAACTAACTCATGTATGTGTCATGTGTGTATGTGTATAGAAGTAGAAGTGGGGCCAGTGATCCGGGTACACACCAACAAAGTTGAACCTTTAATTGTACAACTGGAGACTCACACATGGGGACTCACAATGTTTCATAATTTATATTAATATTTAATCGAATTTAAGTAAAGTTTGCGAAGCTTCGTTTAGTGAAGGGGAAAAGTATGGTTCAATTTATATTAATATTAATATCATAGTATCATACCTTCCAACGTTACTAAACCTAAGCTTCGCAAACATTTCCATGTTCAGTCACGGGATACTCAAATTGTATTTATTTAAACCTAATTAAAACGCAATTCTACGTTGTATTGCATTGTAATTGAGTTTAATTAAACTCCAATTAAAACTCAACCCTATATAGGAACGCGTTCCAATTGAGTTCATATCGCAACTATATTAAAAGTTAATCCAATGTGTGGCGTTACAACTACGATAAGACCTGTATGTGTGTATGTGTATGGTTTAAAACGAATAATACGCTTAAATATACGAATTTACATACAAGGTAGACTCGAACTATACGAATATTCTATAATTGAAATTAAGTTCATTCAGAATAAATATTATCACCGTGTTCTCATATACAAATAGTCGTATTAACATATATTTCAACACAGTGCTACCAAATCCGTGTCAACTCAGTTTAAAGAAAGAAAGGTCGTTAATCCCAGTGTTAAGTCGTTAAATGTATTAACAAACAAATCCTAAAATGATGAACACAATTTTAATATGACTTTTTTGTGTTTACTGTTTTGCTTTTTAATATTGAGTTGAGATGTAGTTTATGTGATGATAATATTACAGAGTCGTCCGATTTGAAATATGTACTGACTAACTTAAAGGGCGGCAGTCGTCGTGCCGCGTCCTGTTCGATATGGGACTCATAGCGGCGTATACAACGCGTGTAAAATACATTGTTTATTTATATGAAATTCGAACACGCGCTGCGCGACGACCACCGCGCTTTAGCAGTCTACGAAGGATAAATAACAAAAATAAATATAATGACAGTTTTTTAAGGGAGGAATTCTACTATATGTTTGAAGAAATCTCCGATTCCAATTGTGCATAATACATGTACAGTGGTAGTAGGATTGTATCTGTTCAATGCAAAAGCACCCAGCCCTGATCACTCGACCCGGTGTAGGGATTGCACACAAAGTGAACGTTTGTGTTGACTAAACAAAAACAAAACGGTCAAGCTATATATTTTGTCCCTGATTATATGTGTTATGCTACTCACTTGGTAATTATATCCACTGTTTGTTCTCACTAATCTGAATCCAGGCGTCATATCACCATTTTGTATTATCTTAATCTTTAACTTGCTATACGTACGGTGGTAGAAGACTCTTTCGCCATTCCGGTAGTATACAACTTCTTCCGCTTGCACTTTGCACCGATCTACGATAATGACGTCATCGTCGGCTCTGGCGACCAATCCACAATTACAGGCTACACTTCCACACTGTGTCAGACGTGTCTGGATCTTAACAAAAAAATAAACGATGTTTAATCACGGTAACTAGAAATCGTGGTTTAATGGAAGCCAAGGAATGGAGCCTGAACACAATTATAGTGATTTAAATAATAAACAGGAGCGCATGCGCACTGAAAGTGCGTAGTTCTTACCTCATATGGCAGAAATTCGTGTCGGTAGTACACATATTCTCCTGGCTTGTAAACATCAAAATACCTGAAATAAAAATTTTCCAAGATGAAATTGTCCAAATAAATTTGACTCTAATTAGCTACCCATAGCAACGGGTGATCCAGACGCCATAGACATGATAATAAACCATATCAAGCACCAAAATAGTTTTGAAACACCATCACAATCGTTTCCACAACGGGCTTAATGAGCCAACACAATAATGTCCATGTTATTGTGTTAGTGTTCGAGTGCACATTGGTAACCTTTGTGCTCATACATATGGTATGGTATCAGATTTGTTAATTACATTTTGTAAAATAGAAGCATGAAAAATTATCAGCATATTAATTTAGGTTTGAAATATTGTGTTTTCAGTTCTGTGCATCTTGATTTTTTTCAGTTTAATTAAACGTTTTCATTCATTCATTCATTCATTCATTCATTCATTCATTCATTCATTCATTCATTCACTTTATACTTACGTGCCATCAAATGTGGAGTAATGAGGGTCTCCATTGCCACAACATTTTCTGCTGCTTCGGTCACGGTCATATGTCCTTATCTAGTGGAATATATTAATATATTTTTTTCGTTTTTCACTACAATTATGGTAACAGGAACTGCAGAGTGCATCATAACATCATATGTCACAGACAGTAGCATAAAACCGTAGCTTAGTTGCTGAACGCATGTTTATACCGGCGCTCAGTTTTATTCAAGTCAAATATTTGATTATGAATGACAGAAACGCCATGATACCCAAGAACCCAGAGCATGCGCGAGAATCTATTATAAGGTCTACGCTCCAATCACTAAATAATTACCCGTCCAAAATATAAACCCACTGTGACGTCACACACGTCATTTACATTTTGATTTTCAGTCGCAGTTAAAAGTAACAACTATTGTTGTTGTTTTTGTAATACATGTATGTGGTACAACTGGAAACATCGTAGCGCTGCCACTTATTGTGCGTGCTGACTGCAGCAAAAGTTTGTCATGTACGCGCTTGGTATTGCATCGATTGTGTCCGCACCAAATAATATGTGTTTGATGATTTACATACTTTGTATTTGTAACTGAAAAATGTCTTGTATATATGAGGTGGGTGCAGTTGATACCTGATGCAATAGAGACAAGAAATGACTAGTGTTATAACAAAAATACAAAGCTAGTTTCAACATGCATGCAGCAGACACGTCTACGAGGGGCGTTCAATAAGTAATGGCCTGACCCATTTCCCATAGCAGGAGATTAATGAAACTTGGCACAGTTATTAGTCTTTCTCTACATAGGAACCACCCAGAGTTATACATTTCTCCCATCGTTTGATGCAACTCTGGACACCGTTTTGTAGAACACCCCAGGTTGGTCCTCCAACCACGTTGTAACTTCAGAAATCAAGGCTGCATCATCTGGGAAACGCTTTCCTTTCAAAAACAACTTCATGGCTGGGAAGAGATGAAAGTCAGAGGTTGCAAGGTCAGGAAAGTAAGGGGATGGAAGAGGATTTCATAGCCACACACCCGTGCTTCTGATCAGGGATATGCGAGTTGTGTACTGGAGCGTTGTCCTGCAGGAGGAGGATACCTTTGCTGATCTTTCCTTCGACTGTATTGACTGGGATTTGATCTCTGGATCAAAGTGATGGACCCAAGTTTCATCCTGTGAAATCAGTCTTTTGAAAAACTTTGACTCATCTTCTTGGCACATCTCCAATTTCATTCTCGAGCACTTGACGCATTTTTGCTTCTGGAAAGGTGTGAGCAGCCAGGGAATCCATCTGGCAGACACATTATGCATATGCAAATGGTAGTTTCCTCAGATCCTGTACTAATCATGGGCTATTTGGCGAACAGTAATGCGTCCATCTTCGAAAATGGCTGTCTCAACTCGATGGACAGATGCCTCATCAATGGCAGAAGTTGTGTACCGGAGCGTTGTCCTGCAGGAGGAGGATAGCTTTGCTGATCTTGCCGTGCCTCTTGATTTTGATAGCTTCTATTAATTTCATCAAAAGTGAAGCGTAATAGGCTCCTGTAATTGTGGTACCCTTTGTCAGGAAATCTGTCATCACTACTCCGTCCTGGTTTCAGAAGACTGTGAGCATGACCTTGCCAGTGCTAGGCTGCACCCTTGCCTTCTTTGGAGGTGGTGAGTTCAAGTGCTTCCACTGCATTGACTGGGCTTTGGTCTCTAGATCAAAGCGATGGACCCAAGTTTCATCCTGTGTACCGGTAATCAGTCTTTTGAAAAACTTTGACTCATCTTCTTGGCACATCTCCAAATTCACCCTCGAGCACTTGACGCATTCTTGCTTCTGGAAAGATGTGAGCAACCAGGGAATCCATCTGGCAGACACCTTATGCATATGCAAATGGTCATGAATGATAGTTTACATAGACCCTGTACTAATCTTGGGCTATTTGGCAAACAGAAATGCGTCGATCTTCCAAAATGGCTGCCTCAACTCGACGGACAGATGCCTCATCAATGGCAGAAGAGGGACGACTAGGTATGGGAGCTGTTGCCACAGACTTCCGGCCATGTTTGAATTCACGATGCCAGCGTTTTACAAGGTCATATGATGGGGCGTCATCACCATAAGTTTCTTTCATTTCATCAAAAGTCTCCTTTGGTGTGTGTCCTTTAAA